TATAAGGCCAGCAGCTATGCCAGGATTGCTCGCAACTGCTTTCTTTACAGCTTTTCTGACGATTGTTTCTGCTTCTGGACAAGTTTTTTGATAGTGCCCAACTCTCAGATAAGCCCCTGAAGCAGAAGCATACGCAAAACAGAGCAAAAGGAAGAAGGTGGGAGAGATCATTGTAGAAGAAGATGATTTCATTTTCTGGAACAGAGTAGGCTATTAAAGCTGGTTAGCTAGTGATTGCAGAAAGTGGATTGGATATGTAAAAACTGGGTGACAGTGGGGGGATTATATATAGGTGGAGATTGGAATTACTTCAGAAGGGAAACCGTGTATAGTTGTGAGGATGTAAGCATTGCTTCCAGTTTTGAAGCTTTCTTCATGATTTGAACTGTTCTTTCTTCCTCCTCTTGCTGATTTGCACTTGTTTCATTGTTTTTGACTTTATAGAATTGACAATATTAAATGCCACAAGAAACTTCATATTTCAGACTTAAATAATTGGCCAACCAAACCCCCTTTTTACCCCTCAAACAATTTTTCTTTCTACAGTTAACACCTTAAACTAATTTTCCTCCCAACAATATCCTCCATAATTAAAAAATAGCAAGCAACTCAAAAGTTAATAGAGATGTCATGTGCAAGTCACATGTCCACTAAAATCCAATAAGCTTGACTCAATTTTGCCTATGTGGTCATTACGTGGATAAAATGTATTGACTTAGCAAAATTTTTAATGCCATGTTATGATGCGGTGTGGGAAAAGTCAACTTTGCTCCATTCGGCTCCAGTCCATCTTTCTCTCCCAAATAGAGAAATGAAGATCTAGGGTTTGCAAAGGAATGGGCTCTAGAATCTAGATCACTTCCATTGGGCTCTAACCCACTTTTTTAGATTCTTTTCATTGACAATCAATCCACACCCTACTTCACTCTCGGCCTTACCGGCCTTTGTAAATCTCCTTGAAAGGCTTCCCTTTCCCTTATTCAGTATCCTTGGGTTCTTTGATTTTGGATGATTATATATTTTTTCTATTTAATCATGAATTTTCAAAAATTGAATCAAGTCATGAATTTTATTTGCGGGTGAAAGTGCAAGAGATGGTGAAGAGGATGGCTTTCTCACTAAAGGTGAGAGTGGAAATTGTAGCAATTTAGAGCTTGCCACCGGAGTCTAGGTAGGAGAGGGTTGCATTTGGAAGCTTGTCTTTAATGAATAATATGGCTGAAATGGGGTGGTTCTTGTGGAGAAGGAAAGAGAAGTGGGTCTTGAGCAGTAGTGACAACAATAGAGCTTAAGGGGAACAAAGGCTAATGAGAACCTAGAAATAAAGGATTTGGGGGAAGTTTTGGTGGTGGTGCTAGTGAGAATCAAGACTCATATGCTTTGTCATATGAAATTCATACACATCACCAAAAGTTTGACATGTCATCAAACATTAACAAAATTTAATGTTTACATGAGAGGCACATGACATCTTCGTTAATTTTTGGGTTATTCATGATTTTTTAATTATAGAGGATGTTAACTGATAAGAAAATTAGTTTAGGGTACTGATTGTAGTATAAAAAAATGTTCAGGGGGCAAGTAAGATATTTGGCCTAAATAGTTTGGTTTGATGTTACATACTCTAACAAGTGCAACCAGAAGGACCTGGCAACGCTCTTGAAGAGGTCCACGCAACATTTATACCGTTGACATGGTATAAATTATCAATAAAAATTTGACATATCATCTAAAGAAAGACTGTATG